ATAGTGATGGGAGTTGGAGTACGCGTGATCCGGGTTAAATCATGCGTGCGGAAAGGCCGGCCTCCGCCGCTGTTCGCGTTGCGCATCGGGAAGGAACGCGCGGCGTAAAGTTCAGTAAATTCGTCATCCACGGACATTCCGAAGGATGATTCCCCGAGAACGTTTTACCATCGGATCGCGGATATCGGAGCGATTTCTCAGATCGGGCGGCACTCGTGGAGGGAAATTTTGGTTCAGCATGGCTGACGCCGCGACGTACCGTAGGGTGGTTCTTCTGAAATATCAACGTGAACGACATCCCGAAGGTAATAGCCTCGAAGAAAGTGAAAAAAAGTCTCGTTTTTATATTCTTGTGAAAAGCCACGAGATACGGCGGAAAGCGACGAGATGTGTTTGACCAACCCACGCATGGCCGTTTCGGCCAAATGATGTCGGAAAATGCCGGCCTCTCGGGAGAGAGAAAGAGAGAGCCCGTTTCAGCATCCGGTTTCTCCGACCTCTTTCCACCGCGCGAAACACCGATTTTGTTGTTGCCTAATGGGAAAAGCGGCGGAACGAGCTCGCTCGGATTGAATTTGTCGTCGTTCCTCTATCAACAAGTTTGCCTCATTAGGGAACTGGGCCATCTCTGGGAAGTGATTTTAAATGTCATTGATCGCGCGACCTTCGATGGAATTTCGCGCGTACAGTTATCACACGTCGTCGCTCCTCGCCGCGATCGAAAGTGATCGTTTTGGGGGTTGTTCCTTCGGCTTGATGAAATGAGTGATCCTTGTCGTGCGAAATCGATTCGCGAAAAATGTGATGTGTGCGTGATTCGAGTGCGCGCCTCTTGTCGAAAAATACGGCGTAGATATGTTTTATGGTGCTCAAGCGCTCGCCGTTATGTTGGATAATACCTGAAGGAGCTCTATCCGCTGCCCTCGACATAAGACGGAGCATGATCGTGCATTCTCACATAGTAAGACCTCTTTCGCTTTTACTTGGATATAGTTACGATAATTGCGGCTGACGATTCGACGAACGGGACGCAATCCGATCCGTAAGTCACGATTGATTACCTGTTTCGCGGAACGGTATTGATATTCGCAATGATAGCTAAATAAGTTTTACTCTTTTATCGAACGACGTTAATCGATAATTTGTTCGAGTTGTTTCACTGTCGTCATCGTAACTCCAAGAATTTTATCATCGTGAGGTACACGTTGCTGAAGCAATATTTGAAAAAAAATTATTTTTGAAGAGGAAATCTTTTTTCCATGTATTATAAAAAAATTTTAATTACACGCGACGTAAATATAAAGAATAAATTTCATCGCGTAAGAGATGAAAGTAATGCATTAAAAGAGGTAATAAAATTATACGTTTTGCTTTTTGATACAAGTTACAAGTAAAAACGATTTGATGATACAATTCAAGATAAAAACTGCGGGAACGGCCGTTTATCCTTTCGTGATAAATTCAACGCTTGTTTATTATTAATCGTCTAACCTAATTAACCAGTTTCTTTTTTTATCCTTCCACGAGTCTATCTCATTGGCGAAAATACGTTATGTAATTAGCGTGATGAGATATCTCGCGACTAAAGTCGGGCATTACGAAAGAGGAACACTCGTCGAATCGTCGTCGACGTTCGTTTCGCAGTCCCAGAGGGTCCATAATGGTTTGTTATTGATCTATCTCTGCGCGCCTTCCTTACACTTTTCTTCTTCCTTTCGTCCTTCGTCCTGTTACCTTCGTCCATGCCGACGACGTTGGGTGGTGAGAGATTGAGGGGGGGGGGAGAGAGAGAGAGAGAGAGAGAGAGAGAGAGAGAGAG